ATCAGGACGACTCGCCCCTCGGAAAAGTTCTCCCATCGCCGCCTTGGACCGTTCAAGATAGTCGCGGAGATCAGCAAAGGTGCCTACAAGCTCGACCTTCCTCCGCGCTACTCGAAGCTCCACCCGGTCTTCCCCGTCGTCAAGCTCGAGCTCGCCCAGGACGACCCCCTTCGACGGACGCCCGGCTACGACCAGCCCCTCCGGACCTCGAGGACGGAGTCCCGGAGTGGGAAGTAGAGGAAATCTTGGACGCAAGGGTGAGGTATAAACGGCTGAATTACTTTGTCAGATGGAAAGGCTACGACGCGCCGCACGACCAGTGGGGCTTCGACCGCGTCTTCGCCCCGGAGAAAATCGCGGAGTTCTACCGTAAGTACCCTGGCAAACCACGGCACATCGCCTCTGCGACCTTCGACTCGATTCCGTTCCGGTCTATGCGCCGGGACGCCGCATTCAAAGGGGGGGTGATGTCAGGGGAACCTCCCTTTCGGCCCCTCGGAGACGCCTCCGATTCCGGTCCGACTCGGTTCCGTCTCCGGTCCGGCCCTCCATCTCGCCCGCACAATCACCCGATCCGTCAACGCCCTCCCAACGGTCGCCCTGGGACCTTGCCTGCGACGCCGCCCAAGCCTTCTGTGCCCGACAGCGGCAGCTACGGACAAGCAGTATATAGTCAGCTCCCTAGCAGGCGGACCCTTAGAGTTTCTTCTCTTTGGATCCTCCCCTGCTAGGTCAGCTTCATTTGTATTTGCTTACCAATGTTCACGCTTTGGATCCTCCCCTGCTAGGACCTTGATCTCAGGCCTCCGGGGTTGCCCTTACACAAGGAGCCTGGAGTCCATACATATTGTACAGGATACTGCCCAACTTCATGATAGGCATTGGAATTCAAGTTGTTTGTACAATTTTCCTGCGCTGAGGGTTCAAATTTTGCTTGTTGTGCGGAGAACACAAGTGTCAATTCAAAGACCATGTTTTATTTAATGTGTACAGTATGTGGTTTGTTACTAACAATAGGTGTAGAGAAAGAGGACAACACCCAAGAGCATTGAGTATGTGTTGGGTAGGCAAGAGAGTACAACGCTGTCCAACTTGAACGGTGTATGCAGACGTAACAGCCACCGGAGCTACTTCCTTTTCTGGGGGGGGGGTCGCCCACGAGGCAGATCCAGGCAGCCCGATCTCCCGATCAGTCACCTCTTGAGTTTTGTCCAACCTTTGATTCGTGACAGTCACTGTGCTGACCTATCAAACCTCCCATATAGTAAGTTCGGAGGTCCCCATCTGTTCCCTTCGTCTGAACATTGCTTCTGTGAAGCCATAGAGGTCGACTTCAATGTACAGTACACATCCCACCGGACTTCTTTTCCACATCGACGTTACGCACTCGATGGGTCGTCCTCCCTGAGAAGAGCATGGGGACGGAGACAACGACGATGGCAAGGTCTACTGCGTCTGCCAACGCCAGGGCTTTGGAGAGATGATGGACGGAACTGTCGATGGGAAATTGAATGGGTGTGTGCTGTTGTTCTCTTTCCTCTCCGCCCGCATTGACTTTCTTTCTTTTGGTTCCATCTGGCGTGTATCGGTATGACCACGACCCCCGACGGAAGCTGGTTCTGCGATGACTGCAAGTCCAAGGGCGTCACGAACAGTAAGCGCTGGCGGGCGGAGAAAAGCCTCGGGGAGGGCAACGCGCGCATAGCCCGTGTTCTCATCTTTGACCCCGGTTTATATGTTGTACGTGCCCTCATCATTTGGCTTGTGGGACAGCTACTCAACTGCCGCGCCAGATAGCTTATTGGCTGTTTGTACTATTACCTTGTCGTCCATTAGCGGAATCAACCTTGTGGATTGGAAACAACCTCGGGCCACGAAAGCAAGTCGCACTCTCCAATATTCCTGAAATTACAATACAATCCATCCTCCTAACCCTAATGTCAATCACCAGACCGAAACCTTTCCGATGAAAGTACGGCCGCGAGTTCCTCGACGCGTTCACAATGAAGCCCGCGCCTCGCGTCTTCCATTTGTTTCTGGAGGCATATTCAATAACAAGAAACTCGTCAACGGAAATGGCGTACCAAGATGAACAACTGAATGGTCTTGACCTCTCGTCTACATCTGCGGAGTTGACGCGCAAGATTGCTGAATATGAAGAGGTATTCGCGCGTTGAGCAATTAAGTCCATGTTCGTGGAGAACTCGAGAGCGAAGGTGCGACTCCTCTTTCTGCGCTCTGGCAAATGTCAGAATTGCTGATTACGATGTCAAGCGGAATATGATACCTCGACAGCCGGAGCTGAATATCCAACCTCGTAGCGCGATGGTGCAATAAATGCTCTTCCTGGGCTTTGTCGAAGATGTCCTTGGTGTCGCGAATGACACGCTCGAGGTCGGCCATGCAGTTGTGGGGGAGCAGCGGTCGAATCAGGAAATGGTGGCAAGCGACGAGAGCGGCCAGGGCGAGGAGTGTGTACTGGAGAATGCCAGTGTTGGTCTCTGCTGCGAGATGGAGGAGCTGGGCCATGTTGGTACATCTCTTCATGCTCAAACGGCCTTATACTAGTATTGCGCTGGATAAAATTAGATTAGATTGATCCTCCTAATTCTTCTCACGCCCCGGGCTCCCAAATTGGGACTTCCAAGTTCTCATTGCCGGGGCATTTGCCGCCCGTGTAGCGATGCCAATGTGCGCACGAAGATGAACATTTAGATGATTGTGGTGCCCTGACCTCGTCGGCATTGAAGATATCCAGTCCCGCAGCGATCTGCCCAACCCGTGCTCAATCCTTTGCGTGGGCGTTGGTCCATTAAGTAGATGAGCTATCGGCGCAGAAAGGAGCCTTCAATCAATTCTGATGACGAAGGGCGATGACTCGTCGCTGAGTTTGACGTTGCCCATTCGGAATTCCCACATGCACTATTCCACCTGGCTGTGGAACAGGCAACCTGTAAGGAATCGAATCGGGCTCATACAATGACATGTCGACAACGTTATACAAACAAACAAACTGTGTGAGTTGCTAGAGCTGATGCCGACCTTACTTCAACTTATACTTGATGCACTAGTACGAGGTGCAAAAGAAGAGAGCCACGGTTTGTTGTAGTTACTTCTGGCACAGCAGTGAGCACCATCCAGCGGCGCATGCTCCTGCAGTCCCGCCAAGTGACAAGCTGATTGTTTCTCTCTCTCTCTCTCTCTCTCTCTCTCTCTCTTGCTTCTCTCCATGTATGTTATTGACAGAAATACCCCAAGACTGACATGGAAGTCCGGGACAGATTTTCCATTTTGTCCAACTTTGATGGACCGGCTGGTCCGAGTCCACATTTGGACGCAAGTTCTTGAAGCGCTCATCTGGACCAACACGAGAAATGGGATTCAAGTAAATCCAGACGATCCAACGGAACCGAGGAAGATAATCCTTCTCTGTATTTCCAGCGATGTCTCAGGCACCTTTCCGATACGGCATCGAATACGATACCGACCGATGCTCTTCGTAGGCTTTGCCACACTCAACAACGTGACGACAGATCGACTCCCATCTCCCCGACGACAGATCGACTCCAATCTCCCCGACGACAGATCGACTCAGACGACCAAGTCGACAAACTTGGTCGTCTTTCTTCCCACGTGTCCATCCAAATTCCAATCTAATTTTACCGCACGAAGATACAAGGCTGTTTGAGCATAAAGAGACGCACCAACATGGCCAATCTTGTGGCCGATAGCAACACCGGCATTCTCCAGTACACAGTCCTGGCCCTGGCCGCCCTCAGTGCTCACCGCTGGCCTCCGCTTCCTTATCCGACCGCTGCTCCCCCACATCTGCATGGACAACCTCGAGCGCGTCATTCGCGACACCAAGGACATATTCGAGAAGGCCCAAGAGGAGCAGCTATTCCGCGATCGCGCTACGCGGCTGGACATACAACTGCGACTGTCGAGGTAAGTCCCTTCATCGTTGTCACTAATTCTGACACTCGCCAGAGCGCAGAAAGAGCAGTCGCACCTTCGCTCTCAAGTTCTCCACGAGCACGGGCTGAACTGCTCCACGCGCGAATACCTCTCCATATTCAGCAATCTTGCGCGTCAGCTCCGCGCGTGTCGGCGCGAGGTCAAGACGGTCCAGTTGTTCATCTTGGTGGGCCGTTTGCGGGTCCATCGCCGAGGTTCTTGTTAACATGCCTCCAGAAAGAAATGGAAGACGAGAGACGCGGCCGTCATGGTGAACGCATTGAGGAACTTGCGGCCGTGCTGTCGTCAGAGAAGTTTCGGGTCAGCTATTGAAGCGGGTTGACTATGAGTTGGGGGGTGTTTTGCAGTGTGTCGCGGCCCTGAGGGTGGCGACTTGAGTACTTAAGCAGTAGGTATTGTGGGTTTAGTTCGGAAGTCGTGTACTTACTGTTGTAACTTGTCGTGTTAGATAATGCTATGGCGTGCCGAGTCAATGGCCAGTCCGTCGACCACTTAATAAGCCATGGGATGATGTGAGGTCTTTACAAGTCGACGCAGAGCAAGATATCGAGCTTGAGTCGTTTCGAAGTTTTGTCCAACCCAGAATACGTGACGGTCACGGCCACGTGCTGATTATTGTGGCGGTGCCCACTACGTCGAGGAACTAGCAGCCGTGCTGTCGTCAGCGCGATTTCGGTCCCGCGATTGACATTTAGGCAGACGCGGCATGCTACAGTGAGGTCAGAACCGCGAGGCGTGAGAGGTGTACAGTATTAGTGGCTTGCAGCTTTGTGAATATTATGCGCTTTCAAGTTGTTGTGTGAGCGGAATGGACAGCCAATTTTGATAGTGTTGGGCCATTTCATGGCGCCATGAGAGGCATGCGCAAGTATATGACGCAAAGGGCAATATTTTGAGCAGGTTGTAGTTCTTCGTAGTGGGAGTTGCAGCGCAACCTCGATGTCACGGTGACATTCATAAGCGCCAACAGAGTGTATTTTCTTCTACTAGTATCTGGACAGCTCAGAACTAATCATAATTACTCAAGGAATGGTCAAGAACGGCTGCTGTCCTTCTTCCGAGAGAACAGTAGACTCGGACTCGGGGGCCAAAATGCCCCGCTCAATCGCAACCATCTTCTTCTTCCACAACAGGCCTGCGTAGTTGCCTTTGTTGTACCCCGCCGCTGGATCCGGCGGCGCCTCCTGAGCCCACTCATCGGGGCTCAGCCTCATCGACATCCCCCCTCTCTTGGCCCAAAACGGGTCGGCCGACCTGTCCGTCGGCAGCAGCCTTTTGGTTGTGTTGTGAACAGGCTCTTCGGTGACGACGGGACGCAGTGGTGGGAAGACGACGTCTGCAGGGAACGAAAGCAGCACGGGAGACGCCGCGCCGGGAGAAAGGTAATGTTTTGTTGGCGCTGTGGACACAGTGTTGCCGACGACGACTACCGGAATGCGTGCTTGGAGGTATTGTATCCTGCCCGGCGCGACCTCGAGCGGCTTCCCCACGATGGTATGCGAGTCCCACAAGCCCTCCTCCGTTTGCGCGGCGGCGTCTGCATCGCTGCGAGCGACATCATCGAGAATGCCGTTGTCGTGGTTGCCATCGAGGCAGCGAGCGATTTCGCGTGAGTAGACCGCTTGGAGGTTTATGACGAGGTTTGCGCCAGTGGAGCCATAGTAGGCCGTAAACGCAGGCGCAATATATTCAGGGACCTCGAGGGAGAAGTCGAAATAGGGCTTGTCGTGACTGACGGCCCCGCCGGCGCTCTCAGAGGGCACAAAAAAGGAGAGCTCATGCAAGTTCTCATGGAAGAGATGTTCGGTGCGGGCGAGAGATATCAGGTCTGAGTGTGCGGAGTAGCGGCGAATATCGTTGTTCGAGAATTCTGTGTCCCCGCCGGCCGCCGCCTCCCGCTTGGCCCAGTCCATGTTCTGCGTGATGCCAAGTGTGAGGAATACGCGCGACATGGTTGTGGAGCCCTTGGTCGCATTGATAGACACCCTACCCGTTATCTTCTCACCTGGATCTGCATGAGCGAGGCACCACCAATCGTAAATGGAAGACCAAAACCTCGTTGCACTGTGTTCCCACCCTCCAGCCTTACTTCCCCAACGTAGACAGTTTGTTCGGGCGAGGGGAAGCATCGTTCTCTCTTCTCTATCCATTGTTGCACATCAGGGGGCGCAGGGTCACCGTGATCGTTGGCCGCATCCCGAAAGACCGCTGTGATAACGGAGGGCAGGCTGGTTTGCTTGACGAAATTCGGGGCAAAGTTTGTATGTCCTGCGCTTTGCTCGACAACATTCCCATCGGTGAATGCTACTAGCTGTGGCGGGATTAAGTATCTCCGCTCGGGCAGATAAAAAAAATAGATGCTTACCGCCACATAGTTGTAGGCCAAATCATAGCTTCCATGTCGCCTTATTGGGGAACTTGTTAACACCGCTCGATAGGCCATTATTGCCGGAGGATAGTTGACTGCTGGAGATACTACAGTGAACGGAGCGACCTGCGGAGCAGAAAAGTCTTCGTGGATAAGTCCCACAAGATAATGATCAGCGTAAAGAATCACCCAAATCGCTTCCAAACAACGTCGCCTCCGTGGTCCACGTCTTGCGCTCTTCTGCCTTAACGACCCAGAGTGCAGGGTCGCCGAGTGCTCGGTCGTAGGCGGTGTAGTTGTAAATTATTTCATCCTTGTCCTGAGAACGGACCATCCACCTGTACTGCGAATCCGGCCGTGTCTGGTTGTCTGCTTTGACGATTGGGGGCAATTTTGCGCCAGGACGCATATATTTCACCTCGGCGAACTCATCGAGGCTGAGGCGGAGCGCGACGGAGGCAACTTTGGTCCCACAGTGTGCTGGGGCGACCTTGATTCGCAAATCGCCTACGTAAGAGAGAGCCAAAGTTCAGAGTTGGATGTAGAGTGGAAGGAGAGACTCATCATGAGACGTTGTTTCGGGCGCAAGGTCCTCTGCCCGCACCCAGGCCTGGACACGACAGCCGCTGCTCGACTGTGTGTTGGTTTTGTCGAGCTCGAGAGCGGAGCAGTGGATTGCTGATCCCGCCGCAAAGAGGGTGATGAGACGCTTGAGATACGGCCTCATAGTGGGATGAAGGCATGGTCTTCACAGCGCGTTTATAAGCACTTCAAGATAGGCGCCTGGATTCAATTGACCAGACGGGATGGAATCAGTTGCGGCGTCAGGGCTGCTGCTCCGAGTTGAGTAGAAAGTTGAAAGCGCTATGGAATGATTACCATAGTTCTGCCTCAGAGATACGACAGCTGCAACGACGTTCACAAACAGAACGAAGTTCGGAGTTTGTGCTTATGGGTGACCAAAAGTGGGACTGAGTGCTTATCTAAAAGCACACTCGTCAGCAGCTCTGGACCGGTCTTTGATAATCAATCATCACAATCACAGGCTATCACAGGCTATCACTTTGCGGCACGCCTGCGGCAGACCGGTATTCACCTGTCAAGAGGAGTTGGAAAGCACTGGCAGTGTACTTTTATTGTAGAACATGACGTTCTGTTTGTACTCCGCCGCGTGTCGGCCTTATTTCATCTATCATCATCTATAATATGAAAACAGCTGGAAATCGCGTAATGACAGAAAATCACGTTTTGGTCATGCGTTTTGATTGATGGCACGTGAAATTCATGTGACCACCCCTCGGATACCGCCCGCCGGTGGCGAGCCGCAGGCGACAGCGGCCGTGTGGGCGCTGCAAAATAATTATTTTTTGTCCATGCCAGAGGCACGGACGTTATACTTGTTTCATTGAAGAGGTCAAGGTGTATGCACGTGACGATCACATCAGATCGTGAAATCGCTTATCGAAGTCTTCCTTGAACACGACCATACAACTTAAGCTTGACTGTAAGTGCGTCAATTATGCACACAACCGCTTCGGGTGACACTTTTAGGTCCCTGCCGAGTTTCTATTCCCCGGTATGAGCAACACAGGAATGTATATTTTTATGGTTAGCCCCTCCTTAAGCTCTGAATTCGAAGACCTTTCTTGCCTTAAAAGCACATATCTCTTCCCTCGGCAATGTCCCACTGGCAGCGAAGTGACAGGCTGGCTAAATAAATGTGATGCCGCTCCCTCACCCCGCATTCGCATTCCATGCAAACAAGCCTCGCCCTTAGGACCCTGCTCGTGCACATCGCTAGCCTCATATGAGCCAGCTACAGTCGGTAGAGAGTTGGTAACTCAGGCCGCTGGCAATGGCCATCTTCTCGCAACGTCATCTCCGTCGACACTTTTCCAAGCGACGTTTATCTTTGTGGAGGCCCCTGTTCTCCAGCGCCCCCCTTCGGTCTCCCATCAATGCAGCCAGCCATAAGTAAATGCGCTTCTGCACGACAATGTGATATGGCTCCGCTTCCGCCAGCCATCGTCTACGTCCTGGGCGGATGGGTGTGTTGGACAAGTTGCCGCTGTTTCTGAACCCTCAAGTTTTCATCAAGGGGTATGCGCCAGCGCAAGCCGAGACGTCAGGGGGGAGGGGAGGGGGGTGGTCTGGTGGCCTTAATTCACTTTTCTTTTGTAGGGTACAGAGTGGCTGGGAATGCTATTAATGGTCTCAGAATGCATATAATTGTCATTGAAAGCAGATTTTGGGGTTCTTCTGAGGCATGTATAAGCATTTTGATAGGAATTTCCTGTTTAGGTGGTGATGACACAGCCACGTCACACCCAAGTCACGCCAGTTATGCCCGCAGCCAAAATTGGTTTTATAATGATGTCTGCAGGGTGAATGTGGGTGGAGGGCACAAGAAGGGACACTATATATAGAGGAAATTAGTAGTACTGCATAACATTTTCACCAGTTTCTGGCGACCATCAAGGAATTGCCTTTTTGGGACATCACGTGCAATCACGTGGCGTGACGTCACACAGGGAGGGGGGTGTCCAGCAGTAGCTAATTCACTTTTCCGACCTGACGTTGGGGGTTTCAGGTATGCATACCTCTTGGTTTTCATCGTAGGATCTGGGCATCTGCGGGGACCTTCTCCTGCAGGGCGTAATCTTCGCGCAAATATCGCACTACTTCACTTTTTATCCTTCCGATGTCCTCGCCCTTCGGCTGTTCGTTTTCGGTCTCCTGCTGCTCACGACGCTCAAGACGATGCAAATGCTGTGCGTGGCCAAAGTACCAACTTGGCATATAAAGTGAAGTTGGTTGCAGCGGGATTATGTGGGTTCAAAACGTCGCATTCTTTGCCCAGGTGGGCCCGGCGACGGGGTTGTTCTTCACACATTGGCTTGAGCAGACCAGCTTAGGTACACTCTCTGATGTTTTCCGCGGTCTTCCTCATCGTTGACAGTGTGTGGCGCGTGCATATCGTTTTACGTGCAGATGTTTCTTTGTCATCGTCTCTGGGTAATGCGCGACATTACACTGGCCTATCTTCTCGGCATTCACCTCTTGTAGATCATCAGTAAAAACAGCTACATTGTCGCTACCCTGCTTGTCGTCTTCGTGTTTGCCTTGGTTGCAGCGTTCGTGATGGTATGTTCTCGTTCTTATTGTGATGTTTACTTAACGCACAGATGGCCTTCACGTTGCACCATATCGACTCGCCAACGCGCAACATATTCCTTTCGATCCACATCGGCGTGGTTTTCGGTGGAGACCTTCTTCTTTGCTTGTCTATGGCGCATTTCATACTCGTATGCAGACTTTTTTTTCCCCTTCGCTCCGGCTGAAACATGGCACAGAAAACCTCGAAACGAGTCCTTCCTCATACCGCGGGGATGCTCCACGCCATCCTCAAGCTGACGTTCCAGACCGCCGCGTGCCCTATGTGCGATGATGAACCTGATCACCTCGCGCACGTCCGACAAGCCCGACCCTTACAACGTCTCGCTCCTGCTCTCCCTCATCACCACCAACATCATCCCGAAACTCTACGCCATCAGCGCGCTGTGGACGCTCAACTCGCGGCGCGCGATACGGCTCGGCGGCGCATCGGGCCGGGATACCGGCAGCAGCGATGTACTGAGTGGAAGTGGTACGAGGCGGAGGACCGGGCGGGGGCTGGAGTTGGGCACGTTAGGAAATGTCCGAAAGGACAACTCCGATGCAGATGTGAAGGCGAGAGGGATGGAGGAGGACAGTCTCAGATGACAACAGCGTGGAATAGAATTACTATAGCATTCAGAGTCTAAAACAAAAACTGTGTACGCCAACATTCCACCAATTACTTGACTAGCAACTTATTTAACCATGGCCAAATGTGATTTTTTGTACTAGGTTGGACCGGGGAATACATCTTCACTTCATCTGATTCAAGAATGTAGGATTCTTCGGGCGCGGATGTAATTTTGAACGTTGATCGCGTTAGGTCCTACTACTACTACAGTTTGTTTGTTTGTAATACGGTAATACAGTAGCACATATTTTCGCGCTGGGCTCGGTCTTGCAGCATTTCCGGGTCGGTGTTCCCCATTTAACCCGTGCTGCCGTCGTCCTTCTCCAGGTTGATGATCCCAAGTTCGTGCTTCTTGGCTGGATTGTCTTCCGAGGGCGTCGAAACGCTCACAAAAACTTGGTGGAATGGAATGCCCCAGCCATCGCCACATCAATACGCTCGCCAGTCATCGGCACCGTGCGTTTCGTGACCTCGCCTAATGCTTCTCTCTGCTAGTGCTACCCGACCGTGATCATCTCTCGAAAATGTCCGTTTGTCCAGCGATGCGCAACAACTGGATCTTTTCACTGGCGTTTTTCCTGTCGTCGCCGGGATATCCTGGTCTAAGTTTAACACAAAACACGGCTCACCCAAGTATTCGTCGAGTCGGTCAGAGATTGGACATCGAGTGGGAGGGAGTAGGACTGCGCAGCAAAGGCTTGAGTAAACACTACCCAACGCGACGGTTGCTCAAGCAAGCCGCAACACCAACCAAGAACATACTAGAGAGCAAACTCGTCAGTGGGCGTTTAGGAAGTGTCTTTTGACATACGCAGCTGCTCTGTGAAACTCTTCTTTTGCTCTTCTTCATTGCTTCTTCAAGTTCTTCAACTTCTTGACGAAAACATCGCACTCCGTAAGACTCCGTACCCCATCCGCCGGCTATGACCCCATCAACTTCACTCATTCAACGGGACTGCGGCCTGCGGCAGTGCCGCCATACCAAACCAGAAGCAAGGTTTTTTGTTGCCTCAGCGGTTTGCTTGCTGTGTGGCGAAGTAGAAGCACGGAGCTAAATGGAAGACGAGAGACGCGGCTTTCGTTGAACAGATGTCGAGGAGATCGCACGACAGCATCGTATGCTTTCGTCGAGAAGAAGAAGTTCACTTGGTCGTTTATTCGGATATTGGTCGCGCCAGAGTCGTGCCACAGAGATTCAGGTCGACGGTTCAGTTCCGCAACATCAGTGAACACTGAGTGGATGTCCGAGGCAGATGCAGAGAGCAATATACGCCACGAAATTTTGATGAAATTGCACAGCAAGCGAGGCTAAGTGTTACTGTCACATCAAATTACGCGATCAACGTCCGCTTCTTTCCAAACCAAGTATGTGGGTCAATAATTTAAGCCATGGGCCGATTCTCTCGTGCGCAAGCCACGCATCCCGACAGGGGGCCCATTAGCGGTGGCATTTTTAGGTGCCTGTTCGCCGGCCGACGATCAGAAAAACAGGTGCTTGGTACTGTTGCAATTGGCAGGAACGCAGACTGAGACTGAGCACGCTTCTAGGGGACAGCTCATGGCCAACCCTATCATCGTAGCCAATGGGCCTTCGACGTCTCTGCATGGGATCCAGACCTTTGCGCCCATTGATTGTGTTTTTGCCCTCCCCTCGCTCGCAACTTTTGAGCAATTCACTAGTGTCAAATTGACCGTCCTGATCTCCCTGGATTAATTCAATTTCGCTCCTCCAACACCAACCGAGCGCATACAATCGCGTGCGTATTTTTCACGCTGAACATGCAACGCGCCTCTAGTCTCCGGGGCCAACCATGCTATTCTTGCTCGTTGCTGAGCTCGAAGCAGCGGCGGACTCGGACTTGCACAATCGAGAGATCAGCGGCAAGGTTGGATCGTCTTCTCGTCAACATCTCGATCACTACTTTCCCCCAACTTCCCCCCCACCCGACGGGCTCTTTTTTTTTCGATGGAGCTCCTATTTTTCATCGGCACACTAGTGGTTCCTATCATGTGGGCTACAGACGCCGACGCGTATAAAAGCGAGTCCGAAAGAAGCGAAAAGTAGGATCCACTCGACGATGCCCCCAGTTAATCCACTCGTCTTCTCTGCTTTGGGTGGTTGGGTGAGTGACCAGTTGCAGCCGTTCTTTTTGTGGAACCTGACGCATTTATAGGATTTGGGTATCTGTGGGGACCTCATCCTGCAGGGCGTCATCTTTGCGCAAATAGCCCATTACTTCAATCTCTATCGCTCCGATGTGCCTGCCCTCCGCGCGTTCGTCTTCGGCCTCTTGTTCCTCACGACGCTGAGGTCGATGCAAATGATGTGCGTGGCTTGACTGAATGTATTCTGACGTGTAATGTCCATTGCAGCGCCATCATGTGGGTCCAGAATGTCGAGTACTTCACCGATATCGACGGAGCGGTGGGAATGTTCTTTTCCCACTGGCTTATGAAGATCAGCGTAGGTGAATAACACTCGAAGCGAAGCTCTGTCGCGGTCATTCATGTCTTTATAGCTTTTGGCGCTTCCATATCCTTCTACGTGCAGATGTTTCTCTGCCACCGTCTTTGGGTAACAGTCCCTTCCGAGCTCGCTTGTAATACTCAACTTGCGCAGGTCCTCAGCAAAAACCTCTACGTGGTCGCTCTTCTGTTGTTCGTCTTTATATTCGCCTTGGTCGCGGCTTTGATATTGGTATGTGTCCGTTTGATTGCTACAGTTTATGTGCTCATTTCGCTCAGATGGCCTTCACGTTCAATATATCCACTTCGCAAGACCTGCGCAACACCTTTCGTGAGTTGTTATCAAAGTCAAGTTTCACGTAGGCTGAATCGACATCCCAGTTTCGCTCCACGTCGGTGTCGTGTTTGGCGGAGACCTCCTTCTTTGTCTGACGACGGCGTATTTCTTGCTGGTGCGTGAACAATGTCACTTCTTCCCGCGACTAACAGGCGGTTTAGAAAACCTCAAAACAAGTCTTGCCCCAGACTGCGGGGATGCTCAACGCGATCCTGAAGCTGACCTTCCAGACCGCCGCGCCAGGCGCCGTCTGCGCGATGATCAACCTGATTACGTCACGCCTAGCGTCCACGCCCAACCCGTACAACACCTCGCTGCTGATCTCCGTTATCGCCACCGACATTCTCCCCAAAATATACGCGTTGAGTGCGATGTGGACGCTCAACTCACGGCGCTCAATCCGTGTTGGCGGGTCATCCGGGCAGGACAGCAGCACGGAGGGGCCGAGCGGGGGAAGGAGAACCGGCACGAGCGGCGGGCGTGGCGGTGTCGAGCTTGGCACGTTTGGAAAAGTGCAGCGCATCCAAGTCAGGACTCAGGTGCAGACTGCGCAGCATACCGACGAGGACGGGGCCATGTTTGGGAAAGACGACGCCGATTTGAAGTCGCGGGGGATGGAGGAGGCCAGTGTCGAGACGGACAAGCGGGTATTTTGATTGCATTGGACTTATACTACTTGTTTTATATTCCCATGTTAGGACCAACGCTAGCAAGCCTCGATGTATTGAATATCACTCTTTCATGTTGTTGGGAATTTTCGCCATCTGCCGCAGCCCACGCATCCCGATGCACCAGCTCGTTTCCCAACACGCCCACGTGAGCCGGAACCAATCGAGTATGGCTTCCGAAACCCCCTCAACTCTCTGTCGAAGCGCCTCGTCAGCGGCTCGTCCGCAGGCTTCCGCATACTGGGGTCCAACAGTTTCGCGATCGCGCCGGTGCAGTCGATGAGCAATGTCGCCGTCAATTCCAGGCCAGCCTTCTTCGCCATTGCTAGATGTATGCGTTTGATCAATCGCACGCCCAGGACCGCGCCAAAGAGTTCAGCGTCGAGAGAGCGGTAGTCTTCATAGCGTCCGAGGTATCCTTTCATGACGAATGTCCCGAATGGGGTGGCAGTACGAGCTGCGGCACCCACTCCGAGTGCTCGTCGCGAGCCGTCTGTGAACACTTCAATGTGGATTTGTGGGCTGATGGAGCTTGTAGGCTGGGCTGGGGTGCCACCAACAAAAGGGTGCGGGTGAAGAAGTGGTCGCTGGATGGTGTGGATTCCGAGTCGGACTGCAGCGGTAGCGGTATTCATCCTGGATTTGTTGGTTTCAGTGTCTTTGGCGTTGAGAGGCCTCCGTGCTCTTTATATTGAGCCATGTCGCTCGTCAAAGCGCCAGCTTGAATGTCCTGCACGTCCATCGAGGTCAAGGCGACAGGGCTTGGAACACGCAATGACCAGGTGTCCTTTTGAGTTGTCGATTGGCGCGCAATTATCAGATCGCGGAGAACACAGCCGGCGTCCATATGTGCGACGCGTGAATGCCAACAAAGACGCTTCTTGCTGCAGAGACCATGGAAGTTGGAAGTAAGAGGGTTTTCTCCATCAAATGTCAATATTTGCAGGATTTTGTCGTTCGGGACCGCATTGTCATACTGAGGAGCGTTGGTTCCGTGGCTTATATGTGCTGTAACTCATAAGGCGACTATGTGGCCCATAAATTAATGAAGAGGTCGTGGTGGATGCGTCATTGAGCGAAGCGGCAACAGCTACTGCCAACGCAGTACATCAAGCCGTTGATCACTTTCAAAAGTTCCCACAGCCCTTCGTCCTCTTCGGAGTGACATACATAAAATTGGTATGTCTTTCTGTCGTTCTTGTCTTCTCAAGCCTTATGTCGCTTCCCTCAATAGGAACGATACAGAGAAGGTTAGTTATCCAGTGTCACTTGTGCTTTCATCCGTTCTAATTCCTGGTCCAGATTAGCATGGCCCCTGCACAAGGATGACACGCTAGTTCAGAGTGGCGCTCTACGGAGCACAATATTTTTTGGCTTTTATTTTACATTTTGTTCCTTCTCCCTTACCCATCTTCATTCATCTTCCTCTGTCACAAGGCACGCTTCTGAAAGATGAAAGCAACACCCTCTAAATTCAAGGAAACTAATACTCAGAGGCGTGCATGGACCTCTTCATTAGCAATTCCAAGAGGCTTAACGCCGAGTCAGATACAACAAATATTCCAATGCCCTTGTCGAGGACTGCGATGCCCAAACACCAGTGATCTTCAAGTTATACACAAACCGTGCCGCCTGTTCTTCCAAGCTTTCCAGGTGCGCCCATGTAGTTCCCAGCAAGCTACGTCCACTAATCAAACACAGGCATTTTGACGCGTTAATGGATGCGCAAGAGGTACAATCGGGCCACTCGCTCCCTCGCTCGTTGACCTGGAACCGTTAAGAGCGTCAAACTTGACTCGACATGCAGCAAAGGATACCTTAAAGCAGCTCTAGCGGCCGAGGTGTGTTCTACCAGTGACATCCACCTCTCGAAGCGCTCATACTGCCAGGACCTCAGATATTGGGCAACGGCAGAAGAAGTCTGCAACACGGGCCTTTCCACACTCGATGACCCAACTCCAAGCAAGCCTGTCGCGTGGAAGAAAAAGGACCTTCCGTGGCTTACTGCTGCCGCACTCGCCCACCAAGACAGGCTGCGGAAAACGGCGGCGTCTAGTAGTGTGCGTGACCCTCGCTGCATCCTGCTTTTCTCACTTTGGAGGGCTAGAGGTGGACAATCGCATAGCTGGGAAGTCGCTGTATCGAGATGGCACTGTTGCGGAAATCCATAAACGATATCCCAGAGAAATTTGGCGGGACGCTTGAACCAACGGACCCTGCCAAAAGGCTTGCGGACCCTACAAGTCGACGGTCCAACGTCTTTTCACCCACCCTGTCCAGAAAAAACAAGCGTGTTCGGTCTATGCTACAGTGCGGGTGCTGGTATGATACTCTTCAAGACATAAAATGGCATGCAATGCGCCCCTGGCGCCAACAAATAAAGTCCGTCATCACAAGTGCGCCCGTTTTTACTTGCGCAGCAGCGAGAACCGCTTCGCGCCCTGGCCCTGGCCGTGCTGCCCGCCGCTGGAGGCCGTCGACGCGGCGAACTGGGCGTACATCACGTGGGCGTCGCGGGGCGACTGCTGGTGGCTCATGGAGGGGAATGCGCTCGATGTGGCGCCGGCGGGGAGGAGGCCATAGGCGGGTGATGGGGCGGTGGGCTGGTATTTGGTGAAGGTCGACATGGTATGGTGGATAGGGTGTAGGATCGGTATGTGGTGGGTGAATAAATGCAAAATAAAAGATGCAAGTGCAAGTGGTCGTCGACAAAGTGGATGCAAAGGAACGCGAATTAGGTGGGTGGTCGTTAAAGATACGTGGAGCGGGCGCGTGTCGCGTTAATACGGAGGGTAGTTGGGTGGGGCGGGGGGATGGAAGCTAGCTTGGTTTGGACGCGTTAGTTATAAGTAGGCGTCTGTGTACGGCACGCGAGACAAAAGGCCTGTTCAGGGAATCAGCCAACACCTGTCACCGAAGCACACCACCCACAATGAGCTCTTAATTGTCTGGAGCAGACTCGGTAGAGAGGTGCTTGATCGTCCGGTGTGCATCCCTGCCAGGCTATATACCGCCTGCCATCCCCGACAAAAGACAAGGGCGGGTCGCGTGAGATATGTGATGCATCCTAGAATAAGGGCGCTTCCAAATTTGGAAAGAGGTATCCATCGCTAAAGCCCTTTCCCATCAGCTAAAGTACAACGCGCGCCGTAGATGGGGCAATGGAGGAGTCACCGTGAGTGCTGGCGTTCCCATCCTGAATGAAAAGAAGTTTTCTGCGGCGGTATCAAATCGAAAGACTGCTCAATCCAGAACAAAGTCGCTGTTCCTCCATGAAAGAAGTTAGAGCCATGCCGCAGGGAGAGGTATCAGAATAATGCTCGGTCGTACTCTAATCAGGACAAAGAAATAAGTTAGTCACCGTCCGTCAAACATATCCTCCACCAGCCCCCGCTCCACCGCCGCCCAATCCACATTCCCCGCACTCGCATACACACTCTCATACGCAGCCATGCTCACACTCGCAAAGAACGGGCCCAAGTCCCTGATACTCTCAATCTGCCTTATCGTGTTCAACATCGGCCTCCGTAGCGGGCGGGCAACTTGACTGCCATTGGGGAACGTCAGCGTATTGGCAGCAGGGCTGACTGTGAGCAATCCGTTCGTCGCTGGTGGGTCACGTGACTCAGCGACGGGAAGGTCGGCCACGAGTTCCGCTATTTGGTCGAGCATGGCCTCGGGGAAGCACTCGTCAGGGCGGTATATCGCGTCGACGGTGTCGGTGATGAAGATCCATTGGTGTCTGGTGACGTCAGATTGGATAAGATAAGATGAGATAAAGAAGACTGACATTTGGAATTCCTCCGATTGCAAAGTCAGCAGCAAGTCGAGACACTTGCTCGCGGAAAGGATGAGCTGTAAATCTTCAGCACCATCAGGTGGTAAAGCCGTCATAAGCTGTTCGAATATCCGATACTGCAAAAGACATTAGATCCAATCACCGAATAATCGTAATTACTCGCCAACTCAGTTAACAGCACCGGCCAGAAGCTCGTCAGATTGTGGGCCGAAAGACGACACAGTAGCACACGTATGCACAGGTACACCTCGCTCTGCACAATTGGCGCAGTCACATTGCGCAGGATATCAACCAGCTTCTCTTGGATTGACGGCAAGAGCGTGAGGAAGAAATTCTTCTCGCCCGTGAACAAGATATACGACAACCGCCTGACATTCAGCGACCGTACGAGCATCTCGTACTCGCGGTTGGTGAATATATTCGCCGACGGCGCGGTCGCGACTTTGGCCAACAGCTCCGGAAACGCCGCCTTGTCTTGGTCGAACAGTGCCTTGAATATCAACTTCCACTTGTCTGCCGATTCTGAAGTGCAGTTGAACAGTTTGTTGTCGTTGAGCAGCTCGACAACCGGGGCGCGCCACGTCTTCAGCGTTGACGGGATCTTGGTCATCTCTTCTATCATGCCCATCACCGCCGGGTCCACGTCCAGCGGCTTGGATGCAGATGACGAAGATTTGCCCTTCATTGCAGGACTGACAATGTAATAGACAATATTCGTGCATGCCGCGACCACTTTGTCGTTGTCCATAAGGAATTTGCGGAGACCAGACATTGCAGTGGTAGCGATAAATTGGTTGATTTGGGAAGCCAGTTCGAAGGATGCCGGTCGAGGGTCGCTGAGCGAGGTCACACTTGAAGAGAGTTTCTCATCTAAAACAGTTATTGTTGTTCTCAACAACGAAAAAGCAAATCATGCCTCGAGGAGCAGGTGATTCTCGCCCGTTGGTGACCAAAGCATCCTTCGTACTCCTCCGAATCCACGACCCCTGGTCATACGCACGCCCAACGAAGACCACACATGAATCGAGAAGTTTCCCAAACGTTTCCTGAGTCCATCAGTTACTATTTCCCCAGCTCCCTTGACTCAACAAACCTGAAGCTCTTTGCGAATCTTGCGATCCTCCATCGCGGTCGTTTGCGTGACCTTCTCCGCTAATATCGTCAAGCATCTGACAAAAACGGGTCAAACACGCAGGGTAGCAAGAGCTGATGAAAAGAGAACCTCAAGGCTGGATATGTCTGCGGCTTGAACTCTCTGGTACCTCCTGAAACATCTTTGACTAGTTGTAAATACCTGCCCCAGACTTGTAGCGCAAGCGGGCCCTCAAGTCGTTGGAGGTATTGTTCCAGGAATTTGAATAGAACGGATTCGGTTCTTCAAGGCAAATTAATGAGTCATTCAATATGGTGAAGATGCACGCACAAGTCAGGGTTAATAGCCTGCTTTTTACTCCTCTCCGATATGCCCGACACGCGGCACGTGATGCTTTCGCAGATCATATGAACTGCACTTTGTGCGCTGGCGATGAGGACATCGACGAGCTCAAAAGCTTGTTCATAGGGCACCTGTGACTCCTGTTTATAGTCGGTCAACACGGTTCTGGAGCAATAATAATATACCCACAGGGAGCTCCCGATTCCAACAATCGATAATGGACTCAAACACCTCTGCCGACTGCATCCTGAAAAGATGTTCCAGTACCCTCCGACACCTCATCCTCGTCCTATTATAGATCATGGCAAGACTCTCATCTTTTGACTCCCACACCCTGCGTTCCTCCCATGCTAGTGTTGACCAAACGAGATACAGCACCCTTACCCCTTCATGGAGCGAGCGATAGCCAGCGGACTTGGCCGTGAGTTGGTCATCCGGAGAATTCTGTGTGCTTTCCGAGCTAAACACCGTCGAAACGTATCCCAGCAACCCGCCGCCCTCTGCCGACTTCTCTGGAACAGTCGGATCATCATCGGAACTCGATGGCTCTGCGGGATACGCCAAGCTCAAGAGGACCATTCGCTCTAGCCCACCAAGGAGCATGACGAGCTCCGCGTCGGTCGCACTTGACTTGAGGTCGTCTTTGAATAACCCATCCTCGAATGTCACACGCAACACATCTCCCAGCGAGGCCAGCAACTGCTTACACATACACTCGTTGAGTGGGGTGACCGCCGCTTGCAATGCGGGTTGGAATTGCGGAACTGCCATTAATACGAAGTCCAGCCAATGTTGCAGTACTGGCCGGTTTGTCGGTGTGGAAATGCCGTCAACAAGGGTTTGGATCAGCAGTGGGTTGATTGGCAATGAACGACTGCTAATGTCTTGAGATGTGTCTGGATTTGATGTGGCGTCGACTGGTGCGTCCGCTTGTCGTTGTTTGTTGGTTTCGTGAGCAACGGATGCGGAAATGAGAGAATGAAGTAGATGCAGGAGTTTGTTTTGCAGGTCGAGTCGCGTTCGATGGATTGAGAAATAGAGTTTGCCAATGATAGCTGCCTCGATGGTTTCGACAGTGACCGGGTCCATTTCTCCCCGAGCAGCAATGGATTGTAACAAGTCAATCGAAGTTGACTGGATAGCGAGGTTGTTGGGATGCATCACACTTTCAGAAGCTGGTTTGGGTTCGGATTGCAAGAATCGCATCAGTATTTCAACAAGAACATCCAAATAAGTCGGTTCAGCATCAGGAAAGCCGCCTATAAATGAAGTGGTTTGAAAGACTTCGTCAATGAAACGATGCAACATACCAGATTCAACTCGTTGAATCAACCCCGAATGGTGGGACCGCTTAATTGGAGTGCTCCGCGTGGTTTTGGCAAAACCTTGACCACCAAAACGGGTGATACCAAGGAGCATATCCAATAGATGGTTTACATAACGTTGATCAAATGGCCGCTCATAGAAGAAGCCTTGGAGCTCTTTGCCTTTGACCTTGGTTGTCGTTGGTAGTCGACGGATACCTGGGTCTAGTAGATCAAACAAGATTGGGTCTAAAACTCTGCATATGGTTTAGCTTTGAGGAGGACAACCAGTCAAACCTGCCGCACCGCAGATACGATTTGAGACTACATCTCATCCAAGTTTCTCCTATGCGGCGAAGGGCAGGGTCATCGTTCTTAAGCGTGTCAAGAACGATCATCATGGGAACCCTGAACCGGAAGCCAGGAAGTAAAGTGTCCTCTGAAACAGCTTAGCTATCCATTCAGTTCCCGTCTCAATCTCAGCTTACCAGTCAATCTCCACAAGACTCCAAACGCCTCATATGCATCTTGGACGTTCCGTGACTCCGGCGATGTCATTGTTTGAGCAAGAATCGACTCCACATGAGATCTGCTTGTAGCCCTCTCAAGGGACCAGATGAGGTTGACGGAACGGGCGTGGTAGACAGTGAGATTCGGACGAAGATATTCCAGTAATCGCGTGACCATCTTGTACATTGTCGGTCGGTCGTCTACCAAAAGCTTTGGCAACAGCGTCGGGGTAGCATGCAGTGCAACAATCAGGGAAATTGCACGATCAACGACCGTAAAGTTGCAAGACTGGGAAATCGAGGACTTGAGCATAAAAAAACTGGAGAAAGTATTGGAACTACCTCGTGCTCGAATATCGCCAGTACCGATGGTAGCCATTCTTGAGGCTTCCAGGATATTGTCATTGGTGCTTCCAGTCGAGTTGAAAGTCGATCCATCAACAACAAAGACTGTGCTAATACTTCTCGAAGGGAAGCTGGTGTCGAACACCCATCGACCAAGAATTGCGAACAAGTCGTACTTGTTGTGGCTAAACTCTGGAATGACGATGCGAATGGAGTGGTGAATGGTCCCTCTGGAAGCTCAGTGTCCTCGCGCGACGTTTTGCAACCATAGAAGTTGGTGGCAAAGGTATATGGCCGTTGCGATTGGGCAGCCTTTTCCATATCGCCAGTAAGTTCTGGTCGTTGCAGGAGCGCCGCGTGCGGAATCTGCTGCAAAATAGCTTCAAGGAGTATTAGAGTAGAGCGAACAGCGGGTGTCAAGGCCTTCTCGCGATTCAATTGTATTTCGATCTTCGTAGAAGATGAGTAAAGAAAGGTGACAAAGAAGAACGCATACGTCAACCAAATCGACAAGAGAAGCAAAGATGATTGGGAGGTGTATGGTCCGGACCTCTTCATCTTGGACGAATGTTTTGAGGACGAACAGAATCATTTCAATTGCCTAAAAATACCTCAATCAAAAAACTTATATTTGAACAAAGTGATTAGCAAACCTCTGTCTCTGTCCCAGTGCCCGAAATTTCGTTGAAAACGGCGCCAAGCAACTGCTTCCATAGAACAGGAGGTTCTACCGCCTCGTACAGCGTGCTCGCAGTCATGGTCACCTATGATACTGTGTGAGCTTTCCACGCAAAACGAGGGACAAACACGAGTAAAAGTTCACCTCTTCAGCACCATCCGCAGTCTCTATCAAGTACTTGATCGCCCTGAAAGCGTCGAAAACCAACGATTCAGTCAACGACGCGCCAATTTCCCACTTGTCCAACAGTGAAATGAAGATTTTGAAAGGCCGTGACTCGGCATATTCTCCAGACGGCGAAGTCATTTCCTCCTTGAGAGTGGATCGAAGTAAAACCAGAGCGTGTTCGCGTAGGTAGGCGATCTGGTGCTCGCTGTTTTCGTCTGGACCCAAAAGCCACGTATATAACCGACGATTCAGAGACAAGTCACGCCGAAGGACAACACTGGTCGCTGCACGCATCAGAATAGCGCGGTCTTCCGCTTGAGCTTGTCGTATCGCGACGCTGTCGACACGCATGGATTGAAGGAGTAAATCAAGGGCTCCTCGTCGGACGAGGAGGTTGTCGTCTTCAAGGGCGGCGGCGAAAGAACGAATCATAAGTCCGATATCACGTCCAATGATCAGAGTTATGTCTGCTTCATGAGCAAAATACTCGCAATATAACTTGAAGCGCACCTTCTTCCGCGTTAAGGCGAGGTAGCCGACGAGAAAGAAGGTTGAGGGCGTTTCCGCGCGCCGAAGGCGTCGTCAGCATCACCAGCCACATGTTTTGGAAGAAAAATGAAGGCGACACAGTGCCTGACAGCCTATCGAGTAGCCCTAAGACCTTTTCGAAGAACTCTCCCGTTTCCTCTTCCAGACCAGGCAACAGGGCAATGATGAACGACTTCATGATTGGCCGCAGCGATGTTTGGAGAGGTAGGTAGTGGATTTCGTACAGATTTAGCAATGCAGGCTATGGTGCAAGTTTCAGTGAGTAAAACTGGTTCGTTGTACACACGCACCTTGACTGAGGTTGCAGCATACTCGAAGAAAGGAAACAATCCAGACGACCACACTGCCAAATCCCGTTTCAGACCTTCGGACTAGAAAACAGGTAAAGAGCACTCCACGATATGACGAGCAGTACTCACTCCAAGAACTGCGAGAATATGCGAATAAACATCCAAAGCGCGTTGGTGGACTCCAGTTGGTAAAGCAGGGTTGAGACATTGCGAGAGCCGCTTCGCGACAATCAACTTGCGCGGGATCTCCTTGAACTGCATGTAAGACTGGAATGTCTACGGCAGTGGGGTGGTCAGAACCAGTCGAAAAGATTCGACTCAAGACGCACCTTGAGCAGTTGTTTGAGAAACGCAATGCAGTCTGCCCACTCATGGACATTGTCGAAGGAGTTGAGACACCGCTCAACCTGTTGCGTATATTTTTTGTATTTTGGGTCGGTGGCGAAGGCCTGCTGAGCGGCAACTTGGCCAAAAGATTAGCGCGAGGAAATAAGGAATTGTCGATATAACACACCCCGTTCGTTGTTCCTATCCGATACCCATTTCTTCACCGACCCATCTGAAGACGGCTTCAACATCGAGCCAGACTTCGAACCGAAGCCACGAGTTCACGCAGTTGACGTCGAAACTGCGGTCGTGGCGGGAGTAGAGTCAAAGATGTCACAGGCGCTGAACACGCTTCTGACCCGTTGTAAGATGTGTTGGATCGAATAAATTACACAGATAAAATACTACAACTACGCAAGCATAACCACATCCGAGTCTCCTCCGTCTGAAGGCGGCGCGACAGCAACCGTTTGCATCCTCGATGGGACTGCCGAACTTGACCTGGAAGGATTCAATGATGGCCCAGCAGCGACAGCACTAGTGTTTTTTAATGCTTTTGGTTTTGGACCAGGTTTGCTGGTGCCTGACGATATCGTCGGCACCTTTGGCAACACCACCGACGCCTGCTTTTCTACATGGTCTGCGAACGGCGAATCCTTCCCACCAATCCACGTCTTGGTAAACCATCGACCACCAGCAATGCTGAAATCAGTTAGTCAGCGATTAGAATAGGAAGATGGAACATACCCTCTAATTTCACGGTTAACTACGCGCCAGTTGCGAACTTTGGCGCCTGAGCGATCGAGAGTGACTGTTTGCGGAGCACTCGTGTTGATCTTCTGAGGTGGCTGGACGGGAAATGGCTTCAACGGGAGCGGATATTGTGGTAGGGGGACTTCATGCAGGTTTATAGGAACATCTTCGACCACGAGACCATTGACTGGAGGTGGTAGCCCCTCTGGTTCAGGCGAGTTGCCTTCAAAGTGAGCCGTAACAGGCGAAGACGCGGCTGTTCCAGTATATCCAGCTGGGGGGGATTGAATACTTGATAGTCAAAACAAGACGTAGCATACCTTCACTTGCCACATCCGCATTGTCTTCTGGTTGTGGTAGCAATATAGCTTTTGGTCTGAGATTCCATCAGCCTACGAATTTGAACGGGGATAAAATCCTACTTCGGGCCAGGCTTTGCTCGTGGTCGGGTAACCGTCTTTCGAGGCGCCTTCTCTTTCTTGGAAGGCGTGGCTGAAACACTGACAGACGGACTGGGATTGGTTAGAGGGACGATGCTAAGCGGTGGTGGTGGGATGACGGGTGTGCTGCTGTTGCTAGCGTTGGGATTGTTCTTGCTCAAATCGATAGTGCTCATCTGGCCGGCGTGTTCATGAGCCCGATGAGGCGATACCTCAAACCAGGTCATGCTCGGCGCAAGATTTCCGGCAGTTTGTCCCATTATTTTCTCTGCAGCGATTCTCTCTTCCTCCGCGACTTTCTTCTCTGTTTTCCGAGGCTTGCGCTTATTCGGCGCCTTCCGCTTGGTAGGTGGCTCCCCAGATGTGGAAATGGTCGTCGTATTGGCTGGAGGGGGAGGCTGGATTGGTGGTGAGGTTATAACAGGGGCTTCATCGTCGTCGATGAGTTGGTCTTCTTCGTCTTCTTCATCGGTCAATGCAGAAATCGGTCGTTTTCGAGAGGTTGTTGTGGTCTGGGTGGCAGTTGGACCACCAGCGTTTTTGACCAGTAGCTTGACCCGTCGAGTTGGTGCTGGCGAGGTCTCTTCACGAAGAGTCGAAATCTGAGGCGCATCGACCTCTCCAACCTCCATGACTGAACAGAGAAGAGACTTGTGAATTATGAATTGATGCTTTAACGGGTGACATGAAGGCAATTGTGGAAAAGCGTGATTCGGACAAATCACAACGTTTCATTTGAGTCGCCCACTGACAGCCACTGACCAGAAAGCCAGTAATTCATGCTAGATACGCAGAGACTTATTCTCGTAACCTTCCCATTTCCCCAGACCATCTCCGCCAACTTCGATAACAGCCGTAGAGTAAAAAATGTGCGCTGTCGGCTTTAAGGCATCATAGTCTTTTGTTAACCCGTTCTCATCTCTTTCTATTTGTGTGCCCCAAACACTCCAGTTCTCCGTTATGCTGTTATACGAGCCCACACAACATCCACACGTCTTGCAGCGGTATCGCGTCTTGTACGGTTTGCCGTCGGTGACGTATTTATCGAGTTTTGGGTTAGTCGAGGTCCATGAGAATGCTGAAGCTGGAAAATGGATGGTCCATATGCATGGAGATCCTGTAATGCTCTATGAAGACCAAGTCAATGCCAACACTGACCCTACCGTTCATTTTCTGGCGAAGATAAGCATTCGTTACACATGTGAAGCAACGGAACGGGAGACCGCAAATACCTGACATCGCGTGCAATGACAAAACGCGCTGAGAGTCGGTTTACCGGTAACTTCATACGTTATAGCACCACAGAAACAAGAGCCTTGTCGAGCAGCCATGGGTGGAGAAGAGAAGGGTAAACTGCTTTCCGGTCAGGTGCGATCAAGCCCAGAAAAAGCGGATAACCACACACCTTAGACAACACTCGAAGCAGTCCAACGGACAAGGAGACAGGTCAAAACCATCTATGTTGGCAAAAACGAATGAAATTACAAGCTATGCAGTGGCTTCCCATTGTTTGATTAACTTTTCGAGGTCGAAACGTGGGTCGTCGGGGTCCGTTACGAGCGCTGGAGAGAGAGTGGAATACTGAATATTGCTGAGAATGGTGAGAAACAAGGCACACGTACAGCCAGCTTTTGGAGCCTGTTGCTTCTTTATCCAAGCCTCCTTCGCCTGCGCAATCAGGTGCTCTCGCTGGTGAGCAGCGGCTTCGATTTTATGGACGTCATGAGCTGCTTGGAGTGTTCGGCGATGGTACCAGCCATAAGCGACGCCAGTGAAGAGTGCTGTATACCGCACGACCTACAAAAACCTGGTGAGTGATGACTAGGCGACATTTTTGGAGCTTACATTAACTGTAGGCGACCCCATAACTATTCGGAAGGTGCTTGGGAAGGGTGTTAAACACGCTGGAAGCGAGGGACAAAGCGTCCGAGGGCAAGAAGTATTTCGTGACGATCAAAAATTTCACGCCAGCAACCAAGTCCCATCCAACTAATAGTAACCTAACGATGTTTACTCCAAAATAAAGTACAACTGGAGCTAATATGTACCAGGAGGCGGCCAGCGCAAGTCTCAAAAATCGCCCCAGTTCCGCTTGAACTTGTACTAATGGGAGTCAGGATTGTAAAAGCGACAAGGAAAAGTCAAGGTACCTTGTACGGGAGGTTTTTCCTGAAGCGAGTCAGTGCTTGTTGTTACGAAGGAATTGAAACATACCGTAGTTTGTCTCCTGCATTCTTGGGTGGCTTATATCCTTCCGAACCAGTTCCCCAGTCGGCTCTAGGCTCGGCCTTGGCATTCCTATAGCGCTCTTTGGGGTCCATTTTCTCGGGAGGAGTTGTCCGCGTCAGCTTTGGCTTGCCAGAATCTGGCGCTGCATTAGCCGGAGGCTCGACTACAGGCGGTTGTGCTTCAATTTGCTCGTCATGTGGATGGGGGACAGCGACTGGGTGTTGACCCTCATCCTCTGGCGTGGCAACATGCTCACCTTCGACCGAGCCAGGCTCTTCTTTCGGAGGGTCATGAGCAGCAAGTGCTTCGTCCACAGAGATGCCTTGGAATTCGGCCTCCTTCTCAGCCTCCTTCCGTTCAATGGATTCGTGATGGGCGAAATGCTCGAGGTCTTCGGGGTGGTTATATGACTCGTCTGTTTGCGTTTCGGGTGTTGAGTGGAATTCCTCTGAGATAGATTAAATGCGCAAAAGGGGGAACACGTATACGAACCTTCATGATGCAAGAAAAACTCGCTCTCCACATCATAATGGTGACCTTCCGCGCCCAGCGACTCAAAATTGGGCAATCCTTCAAGACCAACAGCCTCAAACTCCTCTGGCGACACCCTTCCATCATGGTCTTTATCCAGCATGTTGAGTACGGTGCCAGAAATGTGATCAGCCTTCTTCTGGTGTTCCTCGTCGTCTTTGGACTTTTTCTGCGAGTAGACGTGATGCACTCCATAGATGGCCTCTATTTCCTCACGGTCCCACCATCCGTCTCTGTCTGAGATTGGCAATTGAGAAATGGAGGAGTTGGGAAGCAACACACCGGTTGAGGTCGTGTAGCTGGAAGAAACTCCGCAAATCGAATGACTCGCTGAGAAGAGCTTAAGAAAGACCCAGAAAACATAATATAAAGAGTTTACATGTGATGCTCCGTGGCCATCTACTCGAAGTTAGTGCTCGTTGTATCTTCTCCGAGAAAGAGCGCCTACGTGTCTTTGAGCATACGCCTTGATGTCTTCGCCTGGTCTCATTCCCGTTCCATGGTCGCCATGTGCAGAAACTAGGCGGGCTAAGATGAGCACTGCGAGACAGCGAGCCTTCATCGTTGTTGTAGGTAAAGTTAGCGCAAGTCACGTGCTCGATCATTGTCTTGTGAGCTGTGAGCCGTCTGTGTGAAGTATTTATCCTCACCGAAACTGCCAAGTTCGTTTGTGATCAGGAGTTTAAAATACTGTAGATGCAGGCGGCGGGCGCTCGAGTCAGAGCGGACAAAGGGCGATTCAGCTTGGTGTCAGTCCGTCTTTGTCGTCGGCAAGCAGTCGGAACTACGCTTGGCAAATGTAGGACTCGACTTGGTTCAGGACATGGCCTCTGGGAAACCTGAACAAGAATAGCTTCCCGCGATCTCGATGTTACTGTAATGGGACCAAAAATCGGGTGAAGGTCCAGTTTTTTGCCTCCACCTTCTCGGCTTGGTTGCCCGTTGAACTTGTGCAGGACATCATTTGCCAAATCAAGATTGCGTTTATCGTTTGATGTACGTTATGTCATTGCCCTTCGATCCGGGAGAAAAATATCTTACCAATCGAAAAGTTTATAAGGAGGCGGCTCCGATGCCACACTCTGACTAGTCCTCGTTGTCTCCCACCATGGCTGATACGCCTGGCGACGCTGCGACTCTCATAGACCATCACGAGCCGTCCTCTGTCAACATCGCCGAGGCTGAAGAACGATTTAATGCCTTGGCCAGAACCCTCAGTCGCAAATCTCAGGCCAACGCAAGCGGGAGTGCCACAACTCGGACTGCTTCGGACATTGAGAAAGGAAACGAGGAACCTGAAGAAGCCTTTGACCTTCGTGAATACTTGACTTCTTCCAACAACGCCCAACAACAGGCTGGTATCAAGGTGAGCTCGCGTTCTTCGTTGTTTTCGACTTTTTTTTTTTGACACTCTCTTAGCATAAAGTACGCGTATTTATTCGCGTAGTGTTCCTTACTCATCGTCGATGCAGCATGTCAGTGTGACCTGGGAGGACCTCGAAGTGAAAGTGGGGGCGTTCGGTGGTCCCGACAGCAAGGCAAGTCGTGTTACCCACCTGTCTGAGATAGGCATTAAACAATACGCACTGTCAGTTCTACGTCGGGACCTTTGGTGGTATGAACAAAACAAACAAGGCGACGTTGGCGGGACTAACTTCGATTCGTAGGCGCTTGTTTAGACTTCTTCCTCGCTGTGCCTCTATACTTGTGGGGACTAATTACGCCGCTGTTCTTCAAACAAGAATTCGTTACACGCCCGATCCTCCACAAGTTCGTTTTCAAGTCCCTTTAATTCTTTTGTCTCATCCTCCTTAGATCGTCGGGTGTTGTCAAATCTGGCGAAATGTGCTTGGTTCTTGGATGCCCTGGCAGCGGTTGCACAACTTTTCTCAAGGCCATCGCTAATGAACGCAATACCTTCGCTCAAGTTTTGGGCGAAGTACTCTATGAGGGAATCGATGCGGAAACAATGCAAAAAATGTACAAGGGGGAAGTTGTGTTCAACGACGAGGACGACCTCCATATCGCCACGCTCACTGTCGCTCAAACTTTGTCATTTGCCCTGTCTACGTAAAGTTCTTTCGGATGACCGCGTTTCCAGCTAATCTCCCTTAGTAAAACTCCTGGTCCCAATGGCCGACTGCCCGGGATATCAAGAGCGGAGTTTGATGCTGAAGTGCTCGACACGTTGCTGAAGATGCTCAACATTTCGCACACCAAACAAACACTCGTGGGTGATGAATTCGTTCGCGGAGTTTCCGGAGGTGAAAGAAAACGTGTTTCGATCGCCGAAATGATGGCCACTCGTGCCCGAGTACAAACATGGGATAACAGCACTCGAGGTGTGTCATTTTAGTTCCGTTTTTTTTGCCTCCGTTTAACCGTTCGTAGGCCTTGATGCTTCAACCGCCCTCGACTTCGTCAAATGTCTCCGAATCATGACTGATGTCCTTGGTCAAACCACTTTCGTGACCCTGTAAGAACCTTCCGCGCGGTGATCCTTTTTTTGACTCAGCATCTAGCTATCAAGCCGGTGAAGGTATCTATGACCTTTTCGACAAAGTCATCGTCCTCTCCGAAGGCCGACAAGTGTTCTTCGGTCCTCCGTCAGAGGCACGTGCATATTTCGAGCAACTCGGATACCGGCCCCTTCCCCGGCAAAGTACGGCAGACTACTTGACTGGTTGCACGGATCCCAACGAACGTCAATTTGCTGATGGCCATTCCGCCGCCAACACACCGTCGACTCCTGAGGCATTAGAGGCTGCCTTCCGTTCATCTCGTTACTACAAGGAGCTCAATGACACCCGTGAAAAAGTCACTCTCGCCATGCAACACGAGCGTGCTGATCAAGAGGCTTTCCGAGATGCTGTGGCTATGGACAAGAAAAAAGGTGTCTCGAGGAAGAGCCCTTACACGCTCGGGTTTACGGGTCAGGTCATGGCTCTTACTCGTCGGCAGTTCATTATGAAACTCCAAGATCGATTCCATCTCGTCACGAGCTTCACGCTTTCCACCATTCTCTCCCTCGTTCTCGGCGCTGCTTACATCAACCTTCCTACGTCCTCTGCAGGCGCTTTCACGCGAGGAGGTCTCATTTTCGCTGCCTTGTTGACGACCTGTCTCGACGCATTTGGTGAAATGCCCTCCCAGATGCTTGGTCGCCCAATTCTTCGAAAGCAGACCTCGTACTCGATGTATAGGCCATCAGCGATTGCTGTAGCAAACACTCTGGCCGATCTACCTTTCTCTGCCCTCCGAATCTTGTTGTTCAATCTTCCTGTCTATTTCATGACTAATCTGAATCGCTCAGCCGGCGGGCATGTCCTCTTCTCTTTGCTTATTTGACTACTGCTGATACCAGTGCTTAGATTCTGGACGTTCCATCTTATATCCTATATCGTCTATCTCGCAATGCAAGGGTTCTTCCGGACCTTTGGACTTATCTGCACCAGCTTCCATGTCGCCTTCAGGTTGGCGGGTGAGTGCGACCATCTCAACGACAGTTTAGCTTGACACCTGCTAGTCTTCTTCATACCCAACTTTGTTGAGTATGCTGGTTATATCATTCCCGTCATCAAGGTTCGATTTTACTCCCTGTTCTACGAGACTTTTCTCAATACAAAACTACAGATGAAGCGTTGGCTCTTCTGGATTTACTACTTGAACCCGATCGCGTACGGTACGCTGCATTCTGGTTCGCCATGATCATCAGCACATCTAACTGGGAGCTAGCGTGGCAAGCCTGCATGGAAAATGAGTTCATGCGTATTGACCTAACGTGCGATGGCCCCTACGTCATCCCCCGTAACGTCGGCCCACTGACCCAGTATCCGTACGTGTTCGCGTCTTCTATCAATCATCGCTGATTCAAACCCAGGGATGGACTGGGACCAAACCAAGCTTGCACACTTTTCGGATCCTCAGCGGGCGACAGTCGTGTTTCTGGCGAATCATATATATCGGCTGGCTATGGAATTAGTAGCGCTGATCTCTGGCGACGTAACTTCCTTGTCCTCGTTGGGTTCTTGCTGCTTTTCCAAGTTACTCAGATTATATCGCTCGAGTACTTCCCCGTGAGTCTGCATCACACGATCATCGTGATTTGCTACTCACCCGTCTTCAGCGATACAATCAAGTGCTCTCCATCCAGATTTTCGCAAAGGAAAACAGCGAGGTCAAGAAGCGGAACGAGATCCTCCGTCAACGGAAAGCTGAACGCAAAGCCAATCACGGAATAGAATCGCCGAAGAAAGAAATAGAACAACAAATCAAGGAGAGGTCCGTGCTCTTTTTGAACCCTGTGCTTGAGTTCTCAACAATGGTTAGTGCCGTCCCGGCCCATCGCAAGACGTTAACATGGCAAAATTTGAACTATCATGTTCCCGTCCCTGGAGGCACTCGCCGCCTCCTGCATGATGTCCAAGGCTACGTTGGGCCCGGTCTGACTGCGCTCATGGGCGCCAGTGGTGCTGTATGTCACGATTTCTCGGATGTGCGAAGGGGCGTTTTGAACATATTTCAGGGCAAAACAACCTGTCTCGATGTTTTAGCTCAGCGAAAGACCATCGGTGTGGTGTCGGGAGATGTTCTGGTCGATGGGCGCCCATTGGCTTCTGACTTTGCGCGAGGCACGGCTTATGGTAGGTGGAGCATCGAACCCTATCTTCCGTCTTAACATCTTTTGCCTAGCTGAACAAATGGATGTCCATGAAGGTTTGTTGTCCCTCATTGAATATCGCTAGTTGACGAACACTCGACAGGAACCGCCACTGTTCGTGAAGCGCTTCGATTTTTCTGCGTACCTCCGTCAGCCTTTTGAAGTCAGCCAGGAGGAGAAGGACAACTACGTTGAAGGTTGGCGCTTTACATCAGCACGTGATCGTGTTTCTCACGTGCATCAGAAATCATCGAGCTTTTGGAGCTCCAGGACCTCTCTGAGGCTTTAATATTCTCTCTTAGCGTCGAGTCAAGGAAGCGGCTAACGATTGGCGTCGAACTTGCTAGCAAACCTGGTGCGTGTCAACGTTGCTTGATGTACATTTTTTAACTTGGTATAGAGCTGTTGCTCTTCCTCGATGAGCCCACTAGTGGTCTAGACAGTATGCTACTCCTCCTGCCTTGCGATAACAGCTGAATTATGGCAGGTCAAAGTGCATGGAATGTAGTGCGTCTGCTTCGCAAGCTGGCAGATCAAGGCCAGGCAATTCTTTGCACCATCCATCAACCCAGTGCTCTGTGAGAATTACCCGCAAGCATCAACCCTTCCCTCATCTTTTTTTTCAGGCTCTTCGAATCATTCGACCGACTACTTCTGGTGAGTCTTCGATGTTTTACGTCGATAATTCAATGATTTGTGCAGCTCGAGCGGGGCGGAGAGACCGTGTATTTTGGCGACATCGGCAAAGACTCGCACGTCATCCGCAACTACTTTGCTGCCAACGGCGCATTCTGCCCGGCGAACGTCAACCCGGCCGAATACATGCTTGAGGCCATTGGTGCTGGTACAACTCCGCGAGTTGGCGACCGCGACTGGAAAGACATCTGGCTCGACTCACCGGAATGCGAAAGCCTGCGATCCAAAATCGCACAGATCAACAATGAGGCGTTGACCAGGCCTGTGGCAGAGAAGACCAAGCTGAGCACCTGTGCGATCGTTCTTTATTCCCATAAACCGTTGCTAATTTGAGGAAAGATGCGACCCCCTTCATGTACCAACTGCGTACCGTCACTGCTCGCAATTACCTTGCGCTCTGGCGATCACCGGACTACCTCTTCTCGCGGTTGTTTGTCTGCAGCTTTATTTCCTTCTTCGTGTCGCTGTCGTTTCTGCAACTGGGCATCAGTCTCCGGGATCTCCAGTTCCGCGTGTTCTCGCTGTTTTGGGTCACTATTCTTCCCGTAAGGACCGCTGGTGTTGCTTTGTAACAGATGCTCACCGTTGGGTCAGGCTATCATCATGGCTCAAATTGAACCTATGTTCATCTCCAATCGCCGGACTTTCATCCGAGAGGCGTCAAGTCGCATCTACTCCCCCTACGTCTTGTGTGTTGTTTCTTGGTCGTGTTATGTGGGCCTAACTTTGCTCAGTGCTATTGCTCAAACATTGAGTGAGATCCCTGGCTCCATTGGTAACATCTTTCTTTAAGATCACTTCGCTTCTAACACTGTACAGTCTGCGCCATCGTATACTGGGTCCTCATGGTCTACCCAATGCACTTTGGGCAAGGCGCTGCCGGGCTCAACGGCACCGGCTTCCAGCTGCTGATGACGCTGACGATGATGATTTTCGGCGTCACCCTCGGCCAGCTGATCGGCGCCATCAGCCCTAGCGTCCAAGTCGCGGCGCTGTACAATCCTTTCCTGACTCTGGTCCTCGGAACATTCTGTATGCCGCGTTATCAGTGATTATCTTATCTGACCGCCCTATCTCTAGGCGGTGTTACGCTCCCGCATGTGAACAACGGGTTCTGGTGGACATGGCTGTACCAGCTTGTGCCGTACACGCGGACCATCGCGGCGATGGTGTCCACGGAGCTTTTGTATGTCGCTTATATATTTCGAGCGTCACTGACTCTGCCTTCAGCGGCCTGAAAGTGCGGTGCAAGAGCGACGAGTTTGCGACGTTCAACCCCCCGACCAACATGACCTGCGGCCAGTGGGGCCAGGCGTTTGTCAACATCACGGGCGGGTACATCGACAACCTGGACGCGACGTCCAACTGCAAGTACTGCTCGTACGCGGTCGGGGACGAGTTCTACACCCCGCTGGGCATCAGCTTCTCTGAGCGCTGGCGCGACTTTGGGATCTTCCTTGCTTATATTGGTTTGTCCCAGGTTGTCTTCTCGCTCCTGCTCTGACGTTGCACAGCTTTCAACATGGCTGCGACAGTCATTGCATCGAGATATCTCCGCTACGCCAAACGCTGACCCATAGACTATAGACCTATCATCATCATACAACTATACAATACTATTACACGCAATAAGCATTTCAGATTGTATTTTCTACGACGACGGCGCGTTGATACCGCCAATACACTCCGCAGTCCACGCATCGCCATACCCTCCCGCAGCCACCTCAACGCTTTACTCACCCATCGCAAAGGCTCGCAGCTCGCTAAGGCTCGCAGCGAGCGCTCTTATTTTATGCACACATAGACAAAAAATTTTACAAGCTACCCGACGCGTACACAACTCTACAGGCACTAAGTCTACCCTGCCAAGTGTGCATTACGGTAATTCAACTCGCGTCTCTCCCCCATTTAGCCGCGCGTGCGAGAGCAAAGTCTTAGGGACATGTGCTGTCTGGAAAACGAAGGATGCATCCGGTGACGTTGCAGGGCTTGTTACTCCCACAGACAAGTCGAGTGCCTTGACGCGATTGCGCGCAAGGCAAGTTCACCGCAACAAAAAATGGTTGCGACATGACCTTGGAGACAAGCAAACTGCAGCCGTGAACGCGGGCGAGAGCTCCAAGACGAGTCTAGGGTTTGATGCTGGCGGTGTTGAGCGATGGCGCACAATCGACAACCTCGGCAAGGCAAAGGATGGTGCGGGCCAACAAGGAGTTGGCAAACACGCCAAATGATGGTTGTTTCGCTCGTGCGGGTTGAGCCAGGAGACGCGGTCACCCGGTTCGGGCGCGTGCTGCTGCTGGCTGGAGGCTCCAATTTCTGACGGTGTTCACATGCTCCTTTTGCGCGAGCTCCACCAAAAAATGGAGCGCGGAGATGGCCTTCGGAGATGGTTGGCGACGCGCGAGTCGTTGGAGGGCAATAGCGCTGGTTCAGAGACCAACTCCCACAGCGCCGCAGGCGAGCTCCCGCAAAAAATGCGTGTTGAAGGGTGGGATTTTAAAAGGGAAGAAAAAAGCAACACGCTCTACGCAAACATGGGTTGACGAAGATTTGCCCCGCCAACAGCGCCGCAGGCGAGCTCCAGCAAAAAATGGGTGTTATGGAGGGCGGAGATGGCCTCCGGATGTAGGGCACATGGGGATGGCGACGCGCAAGTTGTAATAGCGCACATGATGGCGATGGCGCCGCAGGCAAGCTCCCGCGAGAAATTAGTGTTGCGGCAGCAGGATTTGAAGCCAATCAAAGCAAGTCGGGGTTTCGAAAAGTCATGCCGATGTCTGTGTTGGAGAGGCGCCGCAGGCAAACTCTGGCGAAAAAATGCCTGTTACAGGGCGGGATTTTCGAAGGGGAAGCAGGCTCTACGCAAACGTGGGTTGACGAAGATTTGTCCCGCCAACAGCGCCGCAGGCAAGCTTCAGCGAAAAATGGGTGTTGTCGGAAGTGGCGTTCGCGTCATGATCGAGGCATATGACCATGGCGGCTGCGCGTGGTAGCGCAACACCGTGGTCTAGCACGGCAAAGGGTGAGGATATCGGTAGACGGCGAAGGTCGACAGTAACACTACAATAGTTCAAGCATCAGACAACAAAAGACAAAATCAAAACTTACAGCAGGGGAATTGGCAGCGCACTGCTGCCAACGCTTACGTTGCAAGTCCTCCCGTTTGGTCGCCTCCGGCGGCAAAACCCTGGAAAAAATGGAGCCTTGAATCCTGTTTTTTGGCGTCCAAATAGCACCTCAAAAACATCGGATAATGGGTTGATCGCATCATTGATGGGCTTGATGGGCGCAATTTGCAGCTCAGAATACTAGTATCAGGGTCAGCGACCCTGCATACAAAAACAAGAGTTGTAGTACTCACCATCAGGATGCGGGTGTTGACGTGCGATGGCGGGGACTAAAGTCAGTCGCAGTCCACCCTGGGATGCAGGTGTCTACGCTCCAAATCCAGCGGCGATGGCGGGGAATGACAATGGCAGCTAGAGAGCAGAGCCCAACATTAGGAAATCTGGCTCAAAAGTAAGTCTGACTAAAAGTGAGCGTAAATATGCTTACATAACGACGTGGCCACATTGGCCTCTCGCGCAACTCATGGTGGCGATATAGACCAGCCTAACGACGCCACAGGCAGGCTCCGGCAATAATGGGTGGCTGTTGCTGGCGGAATTTGGCTGTGTGGTGTCTACATTGATCTGAGCGACAAATAAGTATTCCAACGCATAGAAGAGGACAAAACATACCTTCCGGACAACATCGAGTCCAAACATCTCGCAAAAACACAAGTCAGCGAGAACAGCCACAATCTTGGGGCGAAGTGCAAGGGGTAGACTGAGGACAGGTGGCGAGCTGTGCAAAAAGACGATAAGTGGAGGCAATAGAAAGAACAGAATAAGCATACCTCAGAGCTTTGGGACACATTTGTTCAGTTGAAGAAGAGCCAGAACTCACTCGGGAGGTTGCTGGGTGGGCGGTATGTTTTGGCAAGTGCAAGCCGACCATGGCGCCGCAGGCGGGCTCTGGCGAAAAAAATTGGTGTTTCAGACAGCAGAAAGCGCAGAGCTTGAGCTTGCTGTCCGAGCACAAACTGAAAGTCGTGAGTAAGTAGACACAGTTGGTCAATGGAAGACCTACGAAGCCGTTAGGTGGAGAGGGCATGGTGTGCGCCTCAGAGGAGTCGTGGCACATTGCACTGAGACGACGAGGGAAGTGTTACCCCTGCAAGTGCTGGATGCGCGGTCGTGCAGTGTGCGAGCGGCGGGCGACGACTGGGCAGAAAGTGGAAAAAAGAGGATGGAGGTGAAGGTTTTGAGCAAACTTCAGATGAGGCGTGACTGCTGTCAGAAAAAACCACACGTGTCGCAACGCGGTTGTTGACGCGTTGGTGAGTTGCCCATGACGGTGGGAAGAAAAGGGTGACACGGCGTGACAAGGCCGATGGCCCAGCAGAAATAACGAGAAAATAATGGCGCCATGTCGGCGGAGAGCGCAAAAAGGTTCCCGAGTCAGCCCAAGCGGTTCCCCGAGTCAGGCTGTAAGCGAGGTTCCTGTGTTGACATGATTCGAATATCGGCAACCAAATACGGCACAGCGGTGATAGGACAAATGATGCCGCCTACCTTGACCGTCGTGGAATCTTTGTTCGGCTGGCTTTTGGCCCTATGCCGTTGGCTACCTTTTGTTCGAGTGTGTCATTTTTTGCCGCCCCCGCCTGGTTTTTTCCCGAGCATTACATCTTGTCACAGACATCTTGTCACAGGTAATCTGCCTCTAACCTGGCCCTCCATAATTTTTAACTGCCTTGCGCGACGCCATGCAGATAGTAGCATCCCCAAAAGGTAATAGGCACAACAATTGCTTGTTTTATGGTGTTCTCCCCTTGATCGGTGAACCCGAAGCGTGGGAAACAATGTTGAATGTATCTAAATGCTATCTACCACTTCATCCCCGCTATCCAGCATCTCAAACCCTCTGCTTTTCCTCCATCCCTTTTCACCCTGATAGGACTGTCCCAACCCATCGCCGTTCCCGATTGTGCCGGGCGTGTGTGAACCTTATGTCACCATTACCCCCTGGCATTTACCCGCGAGGATCGGACGGGAAGCGCATCTCCGCGTGCACCGTTTGCTTCGAACTGCGAAATACGCGAAATCGCGTATTTCACCCTGAGCAGCCGCCGCTCCCGCCGTAGCATCCCCCAGCGGATGGATATCACCCTGGGAAGCGTTTCAGCCGAGCTCAACTGCCATGTGCGCCGAGTATAAAAGCTGGCCAACATCAATTTGCGCGCAAAGTCTGCTTCTTTCCCCCCTTCACCTTCAAGTTTCCCTCCACATCGTCGTCAATATATTCATTTCTTGTACATCCAAACAGTACTTAATGTCCATTCTCCAATCTCCCACTTTCCTCATCGACTCGTTCACCTCCATTCCCACATACCTCCCCGCCTCCTCGTTTGATCATGCTCGTAGCCCGCAAACAAAGCTGAAGGCATGTCAGCCCCAAACTCATTGACTTGGACTCATCTGGCTTACCTTGTTCTTAGCGACAGCTGGCTGATTAGCACCAGGCCACAAGCGAACTTTGCTGCCAAACACTATCGATTCAGGTGAGTAGTGTGCTCATAGACAAACTTACCTCGATGATTTAGCTTGCTATCCAGTCCTCCTTCGCCGCTGACTGTGATGAACGACCTCTAAAAAACAGGTGAGTCCTGAAACTGAGTTTGCGTTAGCGCGAGTCCAGACACCGTTGCAGGCCGACTTCGTTGTTGGCGCTGGTTTGAGTTGAATTGTATAATGTGAGCCCGCTCTGTTACTGTCGACAATTTGACCACTAACCTTCTAGTTTTTGCAGTGTTTGCGGATATCGTCTTGAGTGTCAGCGACAGTAGTCCAGGCGGCGTCGCGCACTTGATGCTGATGTGCCAACTGCTCAGTTTGCAGGTGAGTTTGACATACAGCAGCTACAAGCCAGCTTACCTTGATTTGCAGCAGGTCAATTTCCGCATGCAGCGACGGCGGCAAGCTGAAACAACAGCGTTGATGGATTTAGTTTGGGCTTTGGCACGGGTTTCATGTCGGGAGTCGTTGGCGACACTACTCCTCGGCGTCGTTGACTTGGTTTGAAGCGTGTAAACGGTCAGGCGGCCGCCATGTGATGGATATCTGGGTGAGTTTGCCGCCCAAAGCACTGAAAGCGACGACTGACCTTCTGTATGTCATTTCCAAAGTCCCGGCAGCGGCTACCGAACCTCGCGCCGTAGAGACTCGAGACATGTAAGCTCGAGATTCTTTAGTTGAAATCATGCTCAGCTTGACATCGAATCAAGAACTCGTCTACGTGGGGTCAAGGTCGGCCTTAAGAAAACAAATTGAGATGAACTCACTTTGTCGTTTCAACTCGTACCCCGATTTGGGCTTAACTCGCGCAGACTCGCACTCAATGTTGCCAAGTTTCGTTTGCGATGCCCAACATCAAATCGGGCGAGGAACACCTCGCAGACATGTCTGTGCGAAAAAGTAAGTCATATGCGAGACGACTCTGACCTTGTCTTTCAACTTCTCGCTAGACCAAACACGAGACCAACTATTCAGCCTTGGAGCCAAGTTGGCCTTGCTGATTTCCCGGTGAGTTTGGTTCTGCGGCGAGATAGATGTGGGCTTGTTTACAGCTCGCAGCGTCGTATGCGGATAGCGCGCCTTCCGAGCAGCGAGGGACGACACGACGACCGCGTCGCTTGAAGTTGATTGATGGTAAGTTTCAATACTATACACAATATATTTTGCTCACTTTCGCAGTTAAATAATTCGTTGCCCCCGTTTGCAGGACCCGTCTCCATGCTCAAAGCAGCCCCGGCAGGCTGCCAAACTTCGCGCCGCCATTGGTCAGCTTACTTGTGGGAAAGCACGCGTTAGCCTCATCTTTGCCGCCAAACCAGTCCCATCTTGTCTGCGATGTGTTGCTTCGGGATATCGCGGGCCGGGGCTTGCGGCGGAGGTGCCATCCGAGCTGAGTAAGTCGGTCGCGAGTTGCGCGCGGGGAAGAAGACAAAGCCGGCCGGCCAGCCGTGACCCGTGGCTGCTCTTTTAGCGGGGTCGTTTGCAAGGCTGGGTTTGGCCGCCCCCGCTGATCAATGGTGAGTTTCCTTGTAAAACTCGAAAAATGACCACATAACATACTTTTAAAGGCTTGTTTCCATCCACAAAAGGCCTTTTTCGTTGCCGAACTACTTGCGCCGCAGATTCGGGATCGTCCTAGTAGCCAGTATGTAGTCGTGAGTTGCGCGTGTTGAAGGGCCGGCCGTGCCGTGAGTTTTCGCTGGCCTGGGATTAGGCGGTGGTTGCGGGAGAAGAGAGTTGCCGCGTTGCCGACAGAGAGTGTGAGCGGGCCAATCGCGCGGGTTTCCATGCGCGAGATTCTCTCGGGAGGCGTGCCGGTTAAGGCCAGAGCCCATAGACGCTCTCTCTTCAGGTGCCGCCCAGCGGGTCGCCGAAAGAGTGCCAGTGCGGAGGCCCATGTGATCCGGAACAGAGCCCGTGGCCTCCCCTTGCGAACTCCGCCATCGAAGTTGAAGTTGTCGCCGTCATGGTGGTCGTCGCGGAAAGAGTGTCGGTCCCGCGTCCCGGCCGCGGCGCCGGGCGTCACAGCACTGCCAAACGTGACTGGAAGGTCAAGGTCCGTTTTTTTTCCTTGCGAACAGCACCGTAAACTAACCGACCGTCCAGCTGGTACTCATTTGAACCCTCCTATCACTGGGGACAAGGTCTTTTTTTTTTCCCGCTGTCACCATTTGCATGGCTCATCTTCATTGCAGAACACTTTGTTGACTAAATTTCAAAACTTCCACCCACGACTGACGCGCGCAGATTTTGCCGCCGGAGGGATAAGTAACGCCTCGGGCTTGAACGCGGCGTTGAATGAAAGGGAGCGGGTGTGCGCACATCTTGGACGTTCGATCGTATATATCGCGGTATGTGCTCTTTCTTCTCTTGGCTTATTGACTACTGCTTACAACCGAATTATGGCAGGTCAAAGTGCATGGAATGTAGTGCGTCTGCTTCGCAAGCTGGCAGATCAAGGCCAGGCAATTCTTTGCACCATCCATCAACCCAGTGCTCTGTGAGAATTACCCGCAAGCATCAACCCTTCCCTCATCTTTTTTTTTCAGGCTCTTCGAATCATTCGACCGACTACTTCTGGTGAGTCTTCGATGTTTTACGTCGATAATTCAATGATTTGTGCAGCTCGAGCGAGGCGGAGAGACCGTGTATTTCGGCGACATCGGCAAAGACTCGCACGTCATCCGCAACTACTTTGCTGCCAACGGCGCATTCTGCCCAGCCAACGTCAACCCGGCCGAATACATGCTTGAGGCCATTGGTGCTGGTACAACTCCGCGAGTTGGCGACCGCGACTGGAAAGACATCTGGCTCGACTCACCGGAATGTGAAAGCCTGCGATCCAAAATCGCACAGATCAACAATGAGGCGTTGACCAGGCCTGTGGCAGAGAAGACCAAGCTGAGCACCTGTGCGATCGTTCTTTATTCCCATAAACCTTTGCTAATTTGAGGAAAGATGCGACCCCCTTCATGTACCAACTGCGTACCGTCACTGCTCGCAATTACCTTGCACTCTGGCGATCGCCAGACTACCTCTTCTCGCGGTTGTTTGTCTGCAGCTTCATTTCGTTCTTTGTGTCGCTGTCGTTTTTGCAACTGGGCATCAGTCTCCGGGATCTCCAGTTCCGCGTGTTCTCGCTGTTTTGGGTCACTATTCTTCCCGTAAGGACCGCTGGTGTTGCTTTGTAACATATGCTCACCGTTGGGTCAGGCTATCATCATGGCTCAAATTGAACCTATGTTCATCTCCAATCGCCGGACTTTCATCCGAGAGGCGTCAAGTCGCATCTACTCCCCCTACGTCTTGTGTGTTGTTTCTTGGTCGTGTTATGCGGGCCTAACTTTGCTCAGTGCTATCGCTCAAACATTGAGTGAGATCCCTGGCTCCATTGGTAACATCTTTCTTTAAGATCACTTCCCTTCTAACACTGTACAGTTTGCGCTATCGTATACTGGGTCCTCATGGTCTACCCAATGCACTTTGGGCAAGGCGCTGCCGGGCTCAACGGCACCGGCTTCCAGCTGCTGATGACTCTGACGATGATGATTTTCGGTGTTACCCTGGGCCAGCTAATCGGCGCCATCAGCCCTAGCGTCCAAGTCGCGGCGCTGTACAATCCTTTCTTGACTCTGGTCCTCGGAACATTCTGTATGCCGCGTTAT